TTGGACGATCATCTTATAACTTTTAACACCCTGCACACCATTGTTATTTAAATTGAAGCTATCCTGAATGACAGACCACTGACACATGTTTCTTCCAACGCACACGAAGAATTAACGCTCACTTAACGCCATCTTCTATAAAGAAGAAGGATCACAACACATTCCCCACATTAGAAATGAAGAAGATGAGATTACACTCAGAATGGAGATGCTTCAAGAGAATTTCAAAACGCTTTGCTCTTCTCTTACAACACTTTTAAACTAATAATAATATGAAAAGTTTAATGAATATTTAGCTGAGTTCTTTCTTGTTGCTTTTCCGTATGTAAGGATTTCCGGTCAACGGTCATGATTTCATATATGACGACACGAATTTGTGCATGTAATTTTACTGAGAGTTTTTTAGTAGTCGTTTTTGCTGACCGTTTGTGAATTTTTTCCTCTTTTCAAAAAGTTTATTTATAATTGTTCCTCAGAAAAACATTGCAATTATTCTCTTCAAAACAAGATTATTACATCTCTGGTTAAAAATATTTAAAAATTACTGAATTCGGCTTTCGTATCATCTGAAGAATTACGGTGTTATCCGCCAAGGACGTAGGCTGAGGCGGATAACACCCTCTGAGATCTCCATAATTTTTCAGATGGTACGAAAGCCGAATTCAATAATTGTTTTATTATTAATTCAAATTAATTCCTAGTTTAAAAACAAGCTAAAACGTGCTTAACTCCGTCGGTGTTAAGTTCATCTCGATAGTGTGCATGTTTATCGGGAAGTTTAGGAGATAAAGGGCTGTTCAGGTCTACAAATATATACTCCAAATATCGGGTGTCGTTGAGTTGTCTTCTTGTTGTTCTTGCTATGTTTTTAGACACTAGTTCGCCGTGAAACGAGTAAAATACTCTTTACGAAAACAACTAAAACTCGTCCCCAGGTCTTCTCAGTTAACGGTTCAATAATCTGTCAATTCTGTAGCACGATTGACGTCATTACATTAACAGGTGAAACAACAACACCGTCATTTCTTCTTATTATTTTATTTCCATGTTGACGACATTTTCCCTTAATCTGACATGTTTTTGAGCGTTAGCAAGACATTTCATGAAGCGTAAAGATTACACAAAATTTTGTCGGATGTAAGATAGAAGGCATGAGCAGGGCTGAAAAACGACTGCGCATGTGCTGTGGCATGCGGCAAAAAACGCAGGCTCAGGCGCGCGCTCATTCAAAATGACTCCAGTTTCGCGGGAAATAAACAGACGGCATTTAAATTGAAAAAATAAGGTCACAGTTGAAAATATAAGGGTTTAAACAACAGTTTTGAGAAGAAAAAACATTTTCCTTAAAATCTAGTGAGTGTAGAAACTTTGAAAAAAATGTTTTCGCGCCGAAAACCAACCTCGTCCCCAGGGCTTTTCCCTCAAAAATGGGTGGGGCGGGAAAAGGCCCTGGCATCGGCTGGTCACGTGTACAGCCTAAATATTCCTGAGAAGCTAATTTATATGCAGCCCGCTGGTTTTGCGCTGACAGAAGGGAGTAACAGTGGAAAATAATGACATCGCGAACTATGTCAATATTTTCGCGTGTGTGCGATTCAAAAGCTTAAGATCCATTTAATTGCGGATTATTCAAATGCTACAAGTTTATGAAAGAGCGTACCGGCTCTACGTTGTCACGTACAAAATATGTCAAATGCTTCAGAGTTGAGACAAGCTGTTCTCAGCTGTGTTCTCGACTATTCGTGACTGTGGAATTAAGCGATCAAGCGAAAGTGATTTCGTCCAATGTCCAACAAAAATGCGGGCCTTTGCCTCCAGGATCTGCGGTGAATTTAAACAAATTGAACTTAATTGAAATGGCATTGTTCATCAAAACTGCTTTATGGAGTCTGGTCTTCTCTACAACCCGACCATGAAACGGGCATGAAACAAACAAATCTCCGCACCAGAAGCAAGTCAGCCCTCAAGCCAGGAACGATGACAGGTCACCGTTCTGAAACATTTGAAGACCTCTTATATCTTTTCTCTTCCGAGGATAAGTACAAAGGATTTTCCTTATGTTAAAGAGAAGATTGACTGATCGATTAGAATCAACTACAGCTCTGTCGATTTTAAATGGACCCAAGCCTTTCTTGTTGCCAGTCGTTTGATCGCAGAGGTCAATAAATTTTTCGGGTCATACAGGATAAGTCTACGCCAACGCGTGTCGCTATGATATGGCTGAGACTTAAGGTGAATAGAACTAGGCTGTGTACGGCGGCCCACTTCGCCAGAAATGAAATAAAATATCAGAAGGGTCGAGAAAGCGGACTTTCCAGTACAACCTTTATGCATGTACGACCCGGGATGTACGATAGCTTGTTTGTCATTTATACCTCTCTATAAACAGAAGTTTTACAGATGTTACTCGCTGTCCCCTTCATAGAAATCGGAGGAAAGCAAAAAATTACCATAGCCAGTATCTGTGACAAAAAGGAAACCTTGTAAAACTTTTCGTTAATCGCCAAGAGATATAAAAGGTCGCCCAAGATCGCGCGCTGTGAGGTTACGCATAATTTTAGCTTTTCACATGGCGATAATTTATTACACCCAGGATTTTGGGGTGTACGAGGAGACACGTGACCAGCCGATGCCAGGGCCTTTTCCCGCCCCACCCATTTTTTTGAGGGAAAAGCCCTGCTGACGAGGTTGGCCGAAAACGGCCATTCACGTGATCTTTAAGTGAAGTTGCGAACCCGGCTAATTAGTGAAAACTATAGGCGATGTTTACAACACCTTGTTGGCTTTTTATTGTCATTTTGCCGTCTGTTTTTGGGTGTTGGTTTTCTGGTAGAACCAGAAACTCGAAAGAGGATTGTTATGGCCCTAACAAACCCTTACCACCAGGGTTAGCGAAAGCAGCAGAGTTGCCGGAACACACCATTGTTTGCCTCAGACATCTGCGGATGATCGAGAGCCAAGACAATCGTTCAAGAGAAGCACTCAAAGAAACATACAGAGATTACAGCGACACATTATGGAATTATTGATAATTACGGCCGAAAAAACGAAAACTTCCGACCAGGGAGCAAGTGGTGCCATGCTTGTAAAAGGAAGTTTTACAAAAAAACAGAAGGAGAAAGTGGTATGGCAAGAAGAAAACGAAGTAAGGTAAATATTGGCAATTCCCTGGTTAGTTTGCATTTACATTTTATCAAGTCAGTAACAAGTACTCACTTTCCCCAACATGTTCTTGTTACATTCTTTATAGAAAATGGATATGATGACCAGTTTAACGGAAAAGGAGACAGAGTTTTACCAACTTTACCAAAAGGAGGCTGAAAAATGTCACACCCTGACAACACAAATGGAGATGCTGAAACAACAGCTCTCAGGAATAACAGGTTTAACTAATTTACTTTGCATTGCTGCAATTAAATTTTACATCCCTCAAATATTTTGCATTTCCCATAAAACACATTTTGTATTAAACGGTTGGGTTCCTTTATTTTAGAATCAACAATTGACAAGAAGTTAGAGGAATTTCAAAAGGCTCTTTACAGGCACCAAGTTACCACACCTGACATAAAGATTTATGATACAGATTCCATGAAACAGTTTGTGAATAAAAACAGCCCCGGACTCTTTCAAGATCTTCTTACCTGTGTTACAGGAGGTAAAAGCCTGTCTGAGAACAGAGGAAAGCTGCAAGAGCAGAGAGTAGTGGCTTTACTTCACATCCTGGCTTATTTTAGGTATGTCCTTTGAGTTTAGTGATCTGGGAATAATTTTGCACACAGTCATTTATAACTGGTATAATAACATTTGTTTTATTTGTCACAGATCACAAAAAACGTCTGCTCTACAGAAGGACAGCGGACTGCATGCATCCAACTGTGGCATGTCATTACGGGGACTATCTTCTGGCCAGGCGTTGGGATACAGCACAACCCCCAGGACAATACAGCAGTTAAAAGCTAATTTGAGTGTACAACACACAAGCTTCATTTGTCAACAATTTCACAGGGTAAATGAGGTGAGTCCCTTGGGTGTAAATATATCTAATATCTAAAAGTTGTGTACCAATTGCCCAAGAAAAAGCTTTGAAACAAAGAGAATCATCATGAAATCTCCTGATACAGTAAATAACATTAACACAACAGTTTATGTGTGTTGTGTTTAATTTTGCTTTTTGTCTTTCTTAACAGCTGCAATGCTTTATAGTTTTAATGCTTGATGACTTCCACAACATCCACTCACTCCATACACCATCACAGTTGATACGGACAAATGTCATTCACATGGCATCCTGTTTGGCAGATGTTCATCCATCAGTTCATGCAGTCCCTAGGCCTGCATTTCCCTTACACAGACAAGTGACAATAAATGTAAATGGAGAGCAGAGGACCCGTGCTGGCGGAATTGACATTAACGATGTCCTGCAAACAATAACAAACTCATTAAGGAATATGAATAAACAGTTCTGGGACCAGCTACCAAGTTACATGCAAAGCCTTGATCCAGGAAGACTACAAACAGCACTACATGAACTAAGGTACACATTAGTCTTATTTGTTACCCATTTATCACAGAAAAATGTCTATTACAAAAGAGAAAGACAACAGGTTAACAGCAAAAAAAAATTTGACTTAATAATTGCAATGAAATTGTAAATATCTGTAATGTCTGTCTGTTGAACAGGGTGTACTCAGATCCAACAACACAAGACATTGAGACGCTCGAGACTTGTATGCTAGTTGATGAGTTTCAACAAGATTTAAAGAGCATGGAACATTACAAGATGGCCCTTGAACGTGTACTGAACAAATGCCCTCAACTTGACCTGTACAGCAAGAAATTTGTTGTACCATTGCCTGCTGACTGGCCAGGGTGGTACTATCCCAAAAAGCTGATAGCAAGTGGATGGAATCCCAACATTAGCATAATTCCAGAACAAGGGCCATTTCATGTGTGTCTGAATGCTTATGAAGATGTTCTTTTGAATTTTAAATTGTTTTAAAATGTTTTCGTATGTTTTTGGAGGTACTTTGGCATCGAAACCCAAACCATACCAGACATCCCTGTGTGTTACTGCTGCCTTACTTGGTTGGCAACTGATACGACAAAAGGTACTGGAAAAGTTTGGAAAGTGCAAGCAACATGAATTTGTCACCATTCTACACTTGCTTGAACATGTTTTGCCCCTTGTGTTCTACCAGTATAACATTTTCAGAAGTGGTGACTTAAAGTTGTATGAGAAAGTTATGGCACAAATAGCTATAATTTTCATATGCTGGAAAAGGAGACATTATGACAAATCAACCTTGTCATTTTTGAGTGATTGTGCATACCAGTGCAAACATCTTCCAGAATACTGGTCAAAGAAGGCAAGTGTTCTCAAACTGATCACAGAAAAGAAGGTTGAGGTTTGGCACTCTGTACTGCGAAGAAACACTGAGAAGTTTGACGATGCAAAAAGCATTGAAGACACAGCAAAGTCTATCGCATCATCTGTTTTTTTAAATGATTTTATACAGTCCTTTGTTCCTCAATACCACCGCGATCATGCTGAACCAAACTTATGGCTTATCGCAGGGAAGACAGCAGAATTCTTACTTGAACTGTTTAGGAGTGTCTCAAGAAACTGTCAGAAATCACACCAGGTAACACTCCTAAGGCAAAAGCATATCACAAATAATATTATTTATAATTATTACATTGTTTCTGGCAAGTAAATACAGTGAACTATAAAGTTTTAAAGGTGCCCATAACACAGGTACTATACGGCTTGATAAGGAACTGGCCCTATGTTCTTAATAAATGAAAAAGAGATGACACTGACATAACTTCATCTGAAAAGTAATTATCAGTTTTTGCTCTAATAATCAAAAGAATTGGTAAAAGGTTATACAGTCAATCCACAGAGTAAGAAAACAAAGTTGTGAACTAAAACTAAAGTAAAGAAGCACAATAAAATATGCAAAATGCATTGTGCACACACCTGTAAGTACACTTCAGTGTATTCACATTCTACTGACCTCATTTGGTTTTGTCTTTTTAGGTCGAACGCTCCCTTGCAAATAATGGAAGACCAAAGGAAAAGCCACAGTATTATCTCCCAACGTTTGACACAATAGTTGACACAAAGTGTTTTCCACTGAGTTATAACTTGGAGGATGTGGAACCTGGCCTGGAACCTGACCCAAATGTTTACTGTGATTATCCAACATGCACAAGAAGAGATACAAGTACTGTCATGAGATTGGCCTGCTTCCATTGTTTTCACCAATCTTGCATTTCATCGCATGATTGTTGCCCGATCTGTCTGGTTCCACTGAAGAAAAAGGTGGAAAAATTAGTGAACACATTCAACACTGGACTGCTAACTTCTAATGATACTCTTGCTTTTGAAAGTAATGAAGACATTCAGGAAGAAGAAAGAATTAGTACACCAGCAGCCATGAGTGTGACAGAGGCTCAGTCATTTTATTCCTCAGCAGAATGGGCTACGAAGGTCGACAGCACAGTGAATAGTTATGCAACAATCCCTCTTCCATCCCATCCAAACCACAATCACTCTTCAGCCCAGCCAACAGTACATGAATCCAACTCTAATACCCCATCTCATGTTCTCACACCCATTACCATCCAACCCTATCACAATGGTAACGTCACCTTCTGGTCTTTCCCACATATCATTTCTCAATCTACAATCCTTGGAAGAACAGGAAGTAATGCATGCACATTCATTGCCCTTTTATTTAGCAAAATGTTTTTTTCACCCAATGTCAACATTCCAGCAACTGGGAGTCCACTAAGCCAGACATGGGTCTATCAGATAGTTGTGCAAGGCATTTTGGCTGGGAACTCTATCTATGACTCAGTAACGAGTATACCTCGAACATTTGGTGTGTTGGAGGCACTTCAAACCTCTAGTGTTTTAAATAACATCATTGGAAATACTACTGTGGGACATTGTCCCTGAGACGAATCCCACAGCTTCTTTGCCTTACTACTGGAGACAAGCTCTAGCCAAAGGGCGAACAACATCAGTATTTATCTTACGGTCCAACACAGTTGTCTTTATTCCAACAACACAGGGAATTTTTCTTTTAGACAGTCATTTTCATGGGAACAGTGGGGCCCAAGTTGCCTTTACAGAGTGGCAGCATTCATTTGAACTTCTCTCTTGGTATAAGAGAATTAATGGCTTTCAATACACACTTGGAACTGTCACCAACGTGACGTTCAACTAGAAAGAGGGCCGTACAGAGGTGCTTTCATAAAAGTCATAAATCCTGAATTCAATAAGATAATTATTTAGTGTCCTGTGACCAAAGGTGGATCGTCCCCGAGAAAGACTCAAATTGATAGCCAATAACTGAACCTGAAATGACATTTTAGTAAAAATCCGTAATTCGTAGAAGTTATTTCTTTGGTCCATGAATCATGCCAGAAAACCCCCTCTATAAACTTCCAAGAAAGTACTTATACAGGAACAAGTCAACAATGACAAGGATTACTGTCAATTAACTCGAGACGGTATATTTTAATGCCATCTGTTTACGTGAAGCTTGCTTGTTTATTCATGAAGACTTCAATTCCCATGCGATTTCAGTTTTATCTCTCAGTTTACATGCGGGCTTGGTTGGGAGTCAAAATGTAATAAAACTATGATTGGAAGGAATTTATCACGTTACGTCCATTGAGAGTTCACTTGATAATAACTCGATTATATTTTTAAAGTGTATAAAATCAATCAAACCTACTCACCAAGAGCTGCCATCGTTTCCACAAAGAAGGGACGCTTTCAGGAACTTGTCCGCCGGCCTTAAACTATCTAAATAGACGAACATTCCCCTAGAATCCTTTCAGCATGTCAGAGAATTTCCGTTGACTGAAAACGTTCACAAACTGCGTCTCTCAGTTCCATCTTGTAAACAAACATTGCCTGAGAACGGCAGCGTTCAACGCCATACTTTTCATTGATCAAACGATCGAAATGCGCCTCGCCTGACGCATGCGCAGTCGTTTTTCAGCCCTGCTGAAGGCATGCACAGTTTGGTATTCTGTGGTTAAGAACATTACCCTCTTTAATAATTTACCCTTTAGCCATGTTCTGTTCAATCTTTAAGTCCAGGCCCCTAGCAGGCATAAAATGACTGAGGGGGAGGGGGGGCCTGAGCGAGTGGCCCACATTAACTCCCCCGCGGCTTCGGTCCCTCGGTTCAAGCATACTTCTTTGCACATGTCAGATGACTACATTCGACATTTGTCTACAATACCTCTTGTTCTTGTCTATAATTTTCCGTTTGTGTTGACTTTTACGAAATAGAGAACTTGTTTGGGATATCGCTCGTGGAAAATTCGCCAAACAATTGCTTTCGGTTTTCTTCCTCCCCAACGAAGTTATTAGCTACGTCTACAAGGATCAGAGCATCTGTTCTGTCCTTGTGAACATGCAACATCATGAAGTGGTTCAGGCGGGATTGTCATTGGTGCATTTCGATCCATTTTGCTTCTGACTAAATAAGCAGATATTTTAAAGCCGTTGGTTGTTTTTGGCAGAGCAAAAATACGATTTCGTTCATTTACACAATTCCGAATTGCACAGAAGAACAATAGTACATAATCTTACTATGATCGACAATACTTTGAAACTTTAACTTCCACTGACAGCTGTCCATTTTAGTAGAAAAATTTCTCTTTTGTAGCAGAATTTAATTCAAGTCTGAAAATTTCTGGGGGCGGGGAGCTCGAGCTTACCCTGCCCCTCCCCCTGTCCCCCTGCTACGGGCCTGTTAAGCGCGTCCACTTATCATTTTGGTCTTTCGGATAAGAAATAATGACCAAGGAAGCTAAGAAAGATTCAGAAAAATTCAGAAATGTTTGGTATTCTGGAAATTGCCCTCTTCAATAAAGTATCGTTGTCATGGCAAGATAAAAGGATGGAAGTTTTTTTTTTTAAATAATGAATTTGTCTTCTCCCGGCGTCAGTGAAATATGTCTGTAGTTTAAAAAACACACGAAGGAGCCGAATAAAGAGCAGAGCGTAGCAGCTAGAAAGAAATTATCCGTGGAGTTCAATATGAACATTATTTTTTCCAATAACTCGAACAATAATGCTGATGGTTGCTTTAAGCTTCATAGAAGAAGTTTGTTTTTTTATTTGCACGACTATGGGAAATTACCCCTTGATCACTGGTATTGCAATTCGCGTTTCAGTTTCGTTGCAGTAATTTTGCATGGGTTCTTATTTTAAATCTTCGTTCTTTTTTGGAATATTTTGTTTTCTCGACAACCTATCTGACCGATGTTCCACACTACGATACATGTATGTAGAAAGACATATGATCAAACTCCCCACAACGATAGATTCTGTCCTGTTTGTAACTCTGGTATAAGTGAAGACGAATTTCATTTTCTCTTGCATTGTCTGAAGTATTCAATCCCAAGAGAAAAATTCTACAATCAAATCCAACACAATTTTGTTGATTCTAATCAGCTGTCTTCCACGGAATTATTAACTAAATTGATAAATTCACAGAATTTTTCTCTAAATTCACATTTGTTAAAATTTGTCTCATTATGTAATGATTTACGTAATAATTTGTTATCAAATCATACTTTTTGCTGATGACACTTGATTGACCGTTGTGATCATAGCATTGTAGTCATTAGTATTAATTGTAACGTTGTCTTAAAGCTTGTAATACTGTATCTTCATAGTCATGCAAATAAAGCTTAAATTGTTGTTGTTGTTGGCATCAGGCGTTTTTCTGACGCAAATTTGTGTATGAATCATGCATTCTTGTCATGAAGTATGTTAAAATAACCTATTCTTGCAGGTACCTGGAGAAGAACAAAATTAAAGAGCTTCCGCCTGGGATTTTCACCAATTTAACTGAGCTACGTTTCTTGTAAGTTTTAAGTTTTTAATAGTCATGGGTCTTGTTTCAAGTTCCCTCAAAAAACTGAAGATCTTAACTGTGTTCTCAATGCCCTCAGCTCTTGGTCTACTAACTCTCACCTAGTACTTAACCTCACCAAGACCAAGGCAGTGGTTCTGTCCACCAGTAGCCCGTTCTAGGCGTTCATTTAGTAAAGAGCGGCGGGCACCGGGGAGCAAATTAAACTGTACATCGGGAAAACGGGGGGACGAGTAGGGGCGAGAGCGAGGTAATGCTTTTAAACATTCTCAACAAAGGGTTGTTCCGGTATACTGGATTCCAGTATACCCTCTTATTGGTCGATTACGACACCTTCTGTTAACAGTCTAGCACTGGTGACATGGAATGAGATATAGAGGGGGAGAGACCTCTGTTATCGAATCACACGGACATCGAAGCTACTAAAAACAATGCAATCGAGCATTTCCTGTATGCGGAATCTTTTCGTGATGAGCAGAAGATTTGCTTGAATCTCGTTCGCCGAGGCCAGGACGTTTTTAGGATTCTTCCAACGGGCTCCGGCCGGGAGACCTTGATTTTTTAACTCTTTCCACGAATAATGAACGTACTCAATTGGCGTGTCAGTTTCCGGGATCATCATCAGTGCGCCTCGTATAATGAAATACCAAGTTCAAGCGATTTGGAATAACAGCAGCAACAGCCACAGGTTGGGGGCAGGGGGAAGGCATGGACGAAGACACGGCAGTGTGGAAGGAAGGTGTGAGACCACTTATGGAAGCCTAGAAAAGCAAAAATAATATCTTGTTTGAAAGGTTGTTTAGTCGCAATAAAAAGATTAATGCTTTGACAGAGGTCAAAGAAGATCAGTACTTAAAAGAGGGAGTCTGCGTTTTGGGTCGGAAAATCAATTTCCTTTAAACTTTGCCCATGAATATATCTTAGTCCCAAAGTAATTGAAACGGCATAAGTTTTTGAAAATATTTGAAAATAAATTTTTTCGGAACGAAAATCACTTCAGCGCGCGGCGGCCAAATTTTTGCAGATGACAAAAGAGTAAAATTAGCGCAAATTGCCGAGTTCACCACTTCAAAGTCTTGCACTTTCAACGATTTTTTTCACTTCCTAGGATTAAATTGGTCCTTAAAAGATGTTAAGCACACAATTTTGGTCCTTCAAAAGCAACCAAACATATAGCAGGCGTTAAAAGGGGGGTAAGAAAGAAAAGAATGAAAAGAAGGAGGGAGGAAAAATGTGAAGATTATCTCCGTCAGGTCACCAACATCCTACACCGGATAACCCTAATTAAACTCCGTCTAAGTAATCACAAATTGGCGATAGAGACGGGTCGGTATGTAAGACCTTATAAGAAACCGAAAGAGAGGATCTGTTCTATCTGTAAAAAAGACATAGAAGATGAAATACACTTTTCAATTTTGTGCCCTGAGTATCAAGAAAAAAGAAGTACTTTATTCGAATACTTAAACAAAGAATACAGAGTATCAGTAAACAGAATGGCACCAGATGATGTTTTTCTGTTTTTAATAAACCCCTCGAGCAAGAACAAACCAGTTAAGTTAATTGCAAAATACGTATTCGACTGCTATGAGAAAAGAAGGTTAACATTGATTATAGTTCCACTAGTGTGCAATTTGTGTTATGATTTTAAATTATTTGGATAAAGTCGATGTACATAGGGCTGTATAAGACTCCAAATAAAGCATTGTCTTGTCTTCTCTTGTCTTGGAAAAAAAGGAGAGGGGATTGGGGAGTGAACGAAGGGAACGCCTGCTATAATAACCCCGTTTTGTTCACCTCTGCGGACGCTGGCGATCGCAAATTCTGATTAGTTAATCAGACAATAGAACAAGCTTGTTAAGTACACCAAACTGGCGATTTCAGTTACCCTCCGTCGTGTTGTCAAACATTTTCCGAACGATGACTTCTCCGTCAGGCTTCAAACTCAATGCCAGTGCCTTCAGCTGAGTGCTTGGCTTTCCCGTAATATCTTCTGTACTACAATAATTCAACAAAATATCGGCATCTTGTCCAGCGAGTGTAAGTGTTACTTGCTCAG